GAATTTTGACTATTTATATTTATTAATTTTAAATTAAATTTAAAAAATTTTGTGACAATAATAAAAATGAAGAATTTAATAATTGATTTTGTCGGTTTAATTTTTGGTAAACTTTCCTCACTCATTCCAAATATGAACTACCCATACAAAATCTTTAATTTTAAAACGAGTGACTCTTATAATCACTATATATTCGATAATTACTATTACTATTCGATTTATAAGTAAGACATTATTACAAACTGTCAAATACTGATTATAAAAAATGGAGAACAAACTACTCGTCTAATTTATAGAAAATTCTTTCCATGAGTAACATAAAGTATATCGCATCAACAGTAATCCCTATAATAAATAAAATTGTTTATCTTACATACATTACATTATTGCTACGCAAATTACATTTAATACGTACAATGACGTTGCATTTACGTATTAATTAAAAGTCATTTAAATAAATTTCATAAGAAAATACATTTATATATTGAAGAAAGCTTACAGCTAAGTCCTCTATTGTTTGAATCAAAGTATTATTTTCGTATGCTGAAACCATTTCGATTATTTCCGGTTTTAACGGTGGTAATGCTATTGTCGTGGCACAAAATTTTCCTTGGATTACAGCAGATCTTTTGAGCGTGGACCATCTTTCGTTATCGGTGAACCCGATTTTTAAGCATTGATCGTAATCACCCCGAAACCACGGACTGCCCTTGACCACACCCGCGGGTGGCTTTCCTATTGAATCTAGCACTGTAAAAAGAAATAAATTGCAGAAATTAAAAATATAAATGCACTTCTAATAAATTTTATTGTACTTTTTTGAAGCTCTTAATACATGCAATTCTTATGCATTGATAATTCATTTATTTCAGAAATAACGAAAATAAATTTTCCTTAGTTTAATTGCTTTTCGCTGCAATAGATAAAAAAATAAAAGCCTGAAACAATAAACGTTAACTAAACATTCGCAGAATTGTAAATTAACAATAGACATTTTGTTAATCGTAAGAAAAGTAAGCACAGGAGCCAAAATTACAATAACATTTCAATTATCGATATTTAAGTTAATATATTTTTTATTTTTCAGATTACAGACAGCGACCTTTTAATTTTAACAAATTAATTTGTTTGTAATTAGCATTTAACATGTTGGAATACTAATTAAATACTGTAGTCTGGATGAGAAAATTATAAATTGTTTGGAAGAATGTTAAGAATTTTGTTATAATAACATTTTACCTTATTATTTCTTTTAAAATGGCAAAACGCTTGATTTTGAGGACAGAGATGAATTTTATAATAAAAAAATGTAAATATTAATAACGAGTAAAACCTTCATTTTAAATCCAACCTGGTCGGAGATACGACGAGTCACATCCTCTATATCTCCACTTTTTCGATGTTTAACGGTGAAAATATAATAAAATTAATTTAATACCCTTTATACAGACGCTATTCTGCCGAAAGTTTCGTTTTTTAATCATTCCTTCAAACTAACATATTAAACGAAATAGATGCACACATACGCAAACACACCTACATATTCAGAAAACTTTCCTCTTTTTTTTCTTTTTTTTTTGGTTGAGAAATCTCAAAACGTGGATATTTGCAAAAAACTCGGAGTGTGAAACTTAACACGATTCCAGTACTTTTCCTCGTGATGTATTCTGGTACTTAGCAGCTGGGAAAGTAAAATTACCACATGAAAATGTTGTAATTACAACGAAATTTTTAAATATACATTATAAAAAGACAAATAATAAAGGCTGTAAAATTCCTTTAATCCAACAGAGAGAATATGACTAAAAAAATTAATATAGTTACGTTTGCCAAAACAGCTTATAAATGTTAAGTTCCAGACGCGATTCAAAATTAAAATTAGTTATATTATTTCAGTAATTAAGATCAGAAAATTTCTGTTATCGAATCAGACCAAAGGTCGTGCAAGTTGAGTAAAACAGAGACGAGAAAAACGGTAGATGTCAAAACTAACGCGATGCGAAGATGAATGAAGTGATAGGTTGTAGTGGAATGTCCACCCGATGAGATGGAACTTTGACAGGACCCTCGTATACAAGGAGACGAAGTTAGAAAATCAAAAAAGGGGGGAAAGATTAACGGTCAAAGGAGCATTGTGTTGGATCATTGAGATTCTAAAACATCAGAGAAAAGATAATAATAAAGTAAAATTCGAGCGCATGTTTCAAAGTTTTATCAACACTTCCTAATCTAGCTAGAACCTTATTATTTAGAAAGTATGAACTTTGTAGGAATATTCCTATTTATTTAATATCACGCATAATTAAGAATACTTACTTTGAAAGGTCCACCCTTTTAAGTCCATCAAGTCTTTTGTAAATACTGTTAATTCTTTCGTACAGTAAGAAGAGATGTTGACTTCTTTGTACATTCTCATAAAGTAAGGAAGGCCGCTTTTGAGAAGGCCTTTCAAAAACTGTTTCATGCGCATTTCTGCATCTTCTAACGTCCTCAACACTTCGACCAACTCTTCATTTACTGCAAACTTTCGGTGGTGGTTACAGATGACAAAAATGGGCCGTGTCATTACATACAAATACCATGAGAATTTTAGTAGTCCCGCATTCATGTTCGGGCTATCGTTTTCTAGTTACTGTACTATTAAAATATCTAATCGTCGATACTTATAGGTTTTAACTGGTTTTTAAAATTAATATTCGAGTTCCCTATGTAAGTTTACTTCTGGGAAACAGAGAGAAAGAGAAACTTACAGCGAATTGCGTGTTGAACTTACAGATTAAAAATAAAATAGTTGCTTCATCATTTATTATTAAATACAGTAACATATAAACATTTTTCTTTATACATCTACGTGTTATGCTATTTGTTAGGACTTATCACACTGCGTTTTTTTAAGAAACTTGACTTGGACATTTCATTTTCATTTTTTATAAATTTTTACTCCAATAAGTTTTATGGTTTTAAATGTATTACTCCAACTGAAAGAAGAAAAAGCAAAATGTACATTAATTCTTTTTACCTCTACAATGTTAATGTTTATGGTTTACGAAAGTAGTTCATGTTAAGTAAATAACCCAGTTTTGCACGCTAAAATCGTCAGATGATGTAGTGATTTCCAGTTACATGAAGAGTTTGGTCATTGTACTCCATGGCACATTTTTACTTCTTTTTGAAAACCGTTTCATATAATCGGATTTCTAGTGTATAATATTTTTTTATACTAAGAAAGGTTGATAAAATGAATATATATTACACTATTATATTATCCCAAGCTAATTTAAAATTTTAATGATAATGCAAAATTTTCATTAGAAATGTTATACTGTACTACAAAGTTTTAAAATGAATTGTATATGGAAATTTTATATGGAACTACATGGAAATTTTAGTTTTGTTTTTGGAATAGAAAATTCAAGTTTATATAAATTAACTAAACAATTTGTACAGAAACGTATATAAAAATGTAATGCACGCGGTCTTAAACATCTGATTTAAAGTAATCCGAAATAGACATTTTTTTCTATTTTAACTTCTTCCCTAACCCAATGCTTTCGCATCCTTTTTCTATTTGGTTAAACATATCCTTCTTTAGAGTCATACAAATTCCAAAACTGCCCAAATCTAACCCGAATTTATCATTTATCTATTCGTATTAACTATTAAATTAATTAGTTTTATTATATTATATAGTTTAATAACGTAAAAAGAGTAAAGCATAGACTAAGTTGTCGTTGAGGATTAATAGAAAATTATGTATTTTCTCTACGTAAAGACAATAGGATAGGAGAAAATAGATATTAATTAATTAAAGTTGGAAATTATACAAAAACCTAAATAAAAAGTTTAAAATTAAAATTCATGCGCAAAAGGTTAATTTGTAGCTAGGAAATTACAATAATATAATACTTAAAATTTTAAATAATCTGCTTAAAGTGTAGACGTCACCGGCTTTCTTCTATTCTTAAGTGAATTTAAAATGCGAATTGATCATTTAAGAAGTAACAAATATAACTCAATTACAGTGGATTATATTAAAAATAATTTTATAAAATTGAAAGAAAGTCTTTTTCTTATTTTCAATGCTAAAAATTTTTTTACACTAACACGAATTCACGAAACTTGACTATTGGAATTCATTATACCAATTAGAAAAATGATATGTATTTCAAACAACTAAAACATATATCGATATTAAAACACACAATATAATAATAAGTTTAGAATTTAATTAATATGATATTAAAACGATAGAGGTAATATTAGTAAAAGAATGTCTCCCAACAATGTTTGAATTTTAAGACTCTGTGATGAAATATAAGGGGATTTTCATGGGAATTTTCTTAGAAATTAGTTTATGAAACATTACTTGTTTGACATACATATAATTGTCCTGATTGGTATAATAAATTCCAATAGTCAAGTTTCGTGAATTCGTGTTAGTGTAGGTAAATTTTTAGCATTGAAAATAACAAAAAGACTTTTTTTCAATTTTATAAAATTATTTTTAATATAATCCACTGTAATTGAGTTATATTTGTTACTNTATTTATGTATTATATTAATTTAATGATAAATTAATTTTTCCCTTTTTTTTTAAGGCGGCTCGCGCCGCCCCCTAGGCTTGCCGCCCGGGTGCCCCGCACCCTCTGCACCCCCGGGTCGGAACGGCCCTGATTGTCAGGATTAATATAACCTGACATTCTTCAAATTCTATTGTCTTGCTTTGAATATATATCTAGCAGTTTATTTCGGTACTCTTTTGTATGATGTAAAGAAAATACGTTTGTATTCGATGTATAATTTCCTTGATATCGTAGATATCTGTCTTATAAGTATCATGTGTTCAGACCTGAGTGTTTATTTTTAAATTTATATTTGTGTTTCTAAATGTATTTGAATAAAATGCATGCGACTTTCGTAAATTCAAATAATTCTTTTAATCGTTTAACCAAAATCTAATAGTCAAGTTTCTTTAGTCATCCACAATTTTGAAAAGCATAATGAAGTATAATGTACCCAAAAGTATTTTGTTCGAAAATACACTCTAGTTTGTTTAACAGAGCATCGGTAAAGGGCACACTATTCCAAACAAAATTTATAAGAGCCTGTCGTTAATCTTACAGAATGGATACATGGTTACAGTATGATGTATAATGTAGAGATTTGATAAGACCTTCCATCGATCAATTTCCTAAAAGCAGACAGTTAAAGGAGCATCATAATTAAAATAAGTTTTATTGAACACATATATGTGAAGCAATTACTTATGATAAAGTATCATAAAATATATACAGTGGTACCTCAGGTTACGAACGCCCCAGCATACGAAATTTTCAGGATACGATATGAAATTCGAACATATTTTTGCTCCACGATACGAACAAAAACTCACCATACGACGTTACATTAGTTCGTATTTTTCATTTGTTTTTCTTACTACAGTTATTTTTTTAAATGTATTACTTGGCTTTAATTTGAGTATGTTTTTCGCGTTGGAACGAATTATTTGGTTTTACATGTAATCGTATGGGAAAAGATGATCCACCTTACGACATTTTCATGATACGATCTCAGTTTCGGAACGGATTAATTTCGTATCCTGAGGTACCACTGTATACTGTAAATACTTCTACCACTACCTGATATATATCGTCAGTTCAGCTTCAGCTGAAACATACGAAATGATAATATTTCGTCATTTTAAAATCGTTTAATTTTAATCAAAAGTTTTTTTAGCTTGAAGTAGTTTTAATGTATGTAAATTATATATTCGAATCTATTCGATTAATTAATTATTTATTTTTTGATTTTCATCTTAATTTTATTTATTTATTTTTTTCGAACTAAGGAAACAGGTACAGTAGTCAATGTTTTTTTCTGAATTTCTGCCAAAAATCTTATACTTTTACAATTTCGTTATTTACAGTTATATATAGATGTATTTTATTATTTAATTAATTATTGACAAGACTATGTCTGTTTATAAAATCGTGCAGTCAATGGGTTCACACCTTAGCGGTATAAAAGGGACATGTCAGGAGTTGCAATTTCGCACACAGAGTATTAGTACCCAAATCGTGCATACATAAAAAAAATCTGACTCAGGGGACAGAGAACCCAGTCAAAATAAAATACAAAATGGCTACATCTTTCTACAAACAAGAAAGAGTGCAAGTTTTATGCATGCTTATATCGTTGGGAAGTTCAAAATGAGAATGTTGCAAAATCGAATTTTGACAAACGAATCTTTGGAAAAAAACCCATTTATCTCTCTGGTCGCGACCTGCTGACCTTGACTGGTTGACCAGATATATCTCCTTTCAGCATCAGAACGTTTTTGAAACTAGATGGCACTAGTCGTTATAATTTTATATTAAAGGTAACTTCTAAATTATAATTTTTTTTTGTTTTTACATTTATTAATATATTTATTTTGTTTGTAAAAAATAAAATAATAATTTTGGACAATACAAAAACGACGATAATTTTTTTCAAAAATGGGAAATTTTCATTTGGCTGGACAAAAATTCAACCTATGGCAACATGCAACCGACATTGGATAGTTTAATTTCACCGAAAATGCTCGTGGTCATGGCGATGACCAATGCTGGTGAAGTTTGAATAATCACATCGCGCTCTGAGTCTCTTAGACAAAAATTTCAAAAATCTTTAGTCTTTCTCAAAAATCAGCCTTGCCGTTTTACTTGTTTTTCTTATCTCTTGTCCTAATTTCATTTATTTTTTTCAAACAAAGGAAACATATTCATTAATCGATTTTCTTTCTGTAGTGTGTTTTTTTTACTCTATATTTCAGCTGAATCTTATAATATAATCAAGTTTGGTTGATAATAATAATAAGTGCAAAGTCCAAACAGTTAGGAGTTAAAAGTTGAAATTTGGTACAGAGTTATTGTACGTGATGATAATGTACACTAAGAAAGTATTTTTCAAAAATTCACTCTGCAGGGTAGAGGGAGAGGATTCATGCTTACCCTGAAGAACTCATCTTCTACTGTACTATTTTAGATGCGGATATTTGCGTTTTTGAGGAAAATCGAACATATTTTTAGACCCATCTAACAATTTTCTAATTAGTTTCAGAAGAGGGGGGACGTAATTCTTGCACCCGTGAAAACAGGTAAGATTAGTTATAATCTAGTAATCTTTTTCTTTGCTATCGTTTACCTTTTGCCCAAATATTGCTGGGCTCATCTGCTGCTGTGTATATATATATATATATATATATATATATATGTGTGTGTGTGTGTGTGTGTGTGTGTGTGTATGTGTGTTTATATAAATTGATATTTTTCAAGAGAAAATAGATCAATATATAAAAATCTTATATTATATTGTAGAAAACAATATTCTCTTTTGAGCTAGCTTGGTGCCAAAAACAAATAACAAAATGCAAAAATTTAGCTCATAATTTAACATTTCTTTTTGGTAAGTAATTTTTACTTCGAACAGTGATACACTAGTGTGCCGACAACTACATAAAAGTTACCAATGGTAAACAGACCGTCCTCTTTGTATGTGATTCGTCATCAATTACCACGTGACGTATTGACATCGTGGCATTTGAGGGCTCGAACTTTGTTATGGCGCTGCATAGAGATATGGACAACCTGCGAGCATGTTGCCAGATCTCGCAATAAAATCGCCACGTTTGTCGATATTTCGAGCCAGTTGGCATATTTTTATCTATTATATATACAAAAGATATTTAGTTAACATCCTAAGCATTTGTCGGTCAAAAAAGACAACAAAAATTAGAAATGGCAGCATCGGGATTCGATGAATCGTCACGAAATATTTTACAAGTAGATAAAGCCCTCCTACTAGTAATACAAATTTATTCAAGATACGATCGAGTTTTCAGGGAATCGCGTCTAGGCTAACTAAGCAATTACAATTTCCAAAGCCTGGATTCGAAAGGCACTGGTAAATCGATTTGTAAACTTCTCTTTGTTTATGTTTGAATTTAAATTGTTAGTAAACAAAGTTAACCTTAACAAGTAGACAAAAATTGCTAAAAATCATGAAAACAAAAACAAAAGTTATTAAAAATGTGCTTGTATTCTTAAATTCTGATATTATTTTTATTGTATTTCTATATTAACGTTTATATTCTTTTCAGTGTTGGATTCAACAGGAAAATTACCCTCAGGTCTTCTCAGAGGCAGCCCGTGGTTCCGGGGTGATTATGATCAATGTTTGAATATCAATACTACCACTAATGGAAGGTCGTCCACAAATAATAAGGTTCGAGGAAAGTTCTGTGCCACGACAATAAGATTACCAACGTTAAAACTTGAAACGATCGACCTAATTTCCGAATACGAAAATAACAATTTAATTCAAGTGATGCAGGATATTTTCGTAAGTTTCTTACTTCATAATATAATTCTAAGGTTTTATTATAAGTAACAAACGAAAATATTTACTTATTAAATATAGAAGCTTGCTTCTCATTTAATCATATGTTTGAATGTTATTCTTAAAATTTCCTTCTTACATATATTATAAATTTAAATATGAACGTATAATAACTGCCATGAGGTACTTTTATATTCGAATAAATAAAACAATTAAATTAGAAATTTCAAAGATTTATAAAAAGTAACTTTTTTGAAATTTCTAACTTCGAGTTATTACGTAAACTTCTTATTAGTTAAATTCATTACATTTCAGAAACCAATGAAACTGTCATCAGTTTTAAAGGATTCGGATGGAAGGAGTTCGAAACTTCAGATTGACGTTTGTATTCCTGGTTCGTGTACTGAACAAGACTTGGAAAACATTGGACATTGGAGTAAATATAAAATTTTTACAGTTATTTATACAATTGCGTTTACGTATAGCCTACTGTATCTTCTTACACAGACACACGTATACGTTGTGTATTTAAACAGGGTGTTTCAAAGCAAACTTTATAATTCTGCAAACGTATAGAATTTCAATCAAAAAATATAAAATTGTACAAGGGTTCATTTATGGAAAAATACATCAATTTTGTATCACGTAATGAAAAATGTTGCATCGGTACATATATGGTCCAATATTTATACGTATTTATACATGTTGTATTGGTAACTTTTATGTTATCAAATCTACTATAAGTAAGTTATCAAATTATGTTTATTCTATGACAAATACAAAATAGGGAGGCCTACAATTGTGTCCGAAGTTTTGTCGAACAATTTCTATAATATTTTGTCCTAAATAAAAGATTGCATTATTTTAATAATTATTGCACAGTCAGGTCTCTTTTCAGTATTTGGAGAGGTGTTTCGAGTGGATTTTTGCAAAGCAAAAGACGACGTAGTGGAACTTTCCATAGCTCAGCTGATCTGCATGTAAGCACACTATTCATTTACCTTAAATTTATACATTGTAATTTTTTATTCATAATTACTTTTTATTTATTTAAAAAAACAATGTAACTAGAAAACATCAATGTGATAAATAGCAGTTATAGAACTACTGAAATATTCATTAACCAAATAATATCGAAATAAAATACAGAGCAAAAACATTAGAATTCGAGATTAATTTTTTCAAATTACAAATGTTAATTATTCACTTGAATTATAAAATATTCTTTCATACTATTAAAGTATAGTTCGTATAATTAATTACATCTCTAGATGTTATATATTTTATAATTATTTTATGTTTATTGTTTAGCTTTGTTTTTGGATTATTTTTAATTTGGGTTTTGTTGGCAACTACAAAAACGATGATAATTTTTTTCAAAAATGGGAAATTTTCATTTGGCTGGACAAAAATTCAACCTATGGCAACATGCAACCGACATTGGATAGTTTAATTTCACCGAAAATGCTCGTGGTCATGGCGATGACCAATGCTGGTGAAGTTTGAATAATCACATCGCGCTCTGAGTCTCTTAGACAAAAATTTCAAAAATCTTTAGTCTTTCTCAAAAATCAGCCTTGCCGTTTTACTTGTTTTTCTTATCTCTTGTCCTAATTTCATTTATTTTTTTCAAACAAAGGAAACATATTCATTAATCGATTTTCTTTCTGTAGTGTGTTTTTTTTACTCTATATTTCAGCTGAATCTTATAATATAATCAAGTTTGGTTGATAATAATAATAAGTGCAAAGTCCAAACAGTTAGGAGTTAAAAGTTGAAATTTGGTACAGAGTTATTGTACGTGATGATAATGTACACTAAGAAAGTATTTTTCAAAAATTCACTCTGCAGGGTAGAGGGAGAGGATTCATGCTTACCCTGAAGAACTCATCTTCTACTGTACTATTTTAGATGCGGATATTTGCGTTTTTGAGGAAAATCGAACATATTTTTAGACCCATCTAACAATTTTCTAATTAGTTTCAGAAGAGGGGGGACGTAATTCTTGCACCCGTGAAAACAGGTAAGATTAGTTATAATCTAGTAATCTTTTTCTTTGCTATCGTTTACCTTTTGCCCAAATATTGCTGGGCTCATCTGCTGCTGTGTATATATATATATATATATATATATATATATATGTGTGTGTGTGTGTGTGTGTGTGTGTGTGTGTNATAATAAATATAATTTTAAATAATAACAGGAATTTCTTAATTATTTTTGTAAACTTGACGACAGAACGAAATAATTTTAGGTGTGGATTATTGCAAACAGAATATTTAACATTATGAGTTTATAATTGATTTTCAGTTAAGTCTCACAATTTACAAAATCACGTACACTCTCTTTACTACAACCTTGTGTTTATATACTGTACTTTCAGCATTTCATACATTCAATTTGAGATAAAATACTATTATTGACTAATATATTTGAAAGTATTCGTGATAAAGTTAGCACGGACAACAGAGGTGGATTTAGTGGGATGCGCAGGATGCAGCTTCAGTTCCCTTTTGAGGGTTTTTATCGAGTAGACACAGGTATGTAGTGTAGTATAACATTTCCTAATTCATATTGTTTCCTTTCTGCCCCGTCTAAAAATTTTTCGTTCCGCGGTTGATTGACAATATTAAATTTTTAGTTCCTAATTCCACATAAGTAATCGCTGTTTACCAATAATGATGAAATTTTGATTTTTCCAGTTGATTACGCAATATCTCAGAAAATTCTCATTTTATTTTATTGACAAAATTAAGTTCAAATTAAGAAAAGATCGGTTCTAAATGCGCATTCAGAACTTTTCTTAATTTGAAATACCCAAAATTAGTATCGAAATTCAGAAAAAGTCAATAAATCAAAACACAATGAATAACATAATTTTCACTACGAACAGTTTCTTCAGTTCTACAATTAGTAACTAATTACAAACGATATTAGGACGGCTGAATTAGAACGTGCAAACCAACTTTCACCCTGGTGTTGTACCTACCTGAGTGTATTACTGGCGTGTGTGTTAAAGCTAAACACTTACATATTTTATATGTGTGTATAAGTTATTTATAAATTAGACTTGTTCTCTTAGCACAAAAGATTGTGATCCCAACATTTTACTATATCATAAACTGATCACATTTAACTATAGCTATAGAAGTATTTATAAAATATGATGCATAGTTCAATTGTTAATATTTTTAGTTTTTATTATTTTTCCTTCAGATTTGGGGTCCAAGACCCAAGGCATATAGGCACATGCCTCAAGTTCCTAGTGAACTAGGCACTGTTTCTAGGAATGCTGTTATGATTATTATTAACCAATGAAATGTAACATCTGTGCAACAATAAGAGGATTCAGGTGGGTGGAAACTTTTTGGAAATTCGAAATCGTTAACAATCACAAATTCTAGCACAGATTCTTTAATAACTAACGTTTGAACTTATTCAAAAGCTTTCATCAAGCTACGTAACTTCGAATTTTAGAGATGCTAACAAAACGTATTCACAGAGATTCTGTCAGTATTTTCATATTCGAAATTAATTGATTTGATTTACTAAATCAAGCTATTAATAACACTCAGAATTTTTTGACTAAACAGTAATTTTCTCATTAAAGAACTATCATTTAGTCTTTAGTTTGCTTGCTTAATCAAAGCATTTTAAATTTCGAATAAACATCCTTCCTATCTTTTTAACTTTCAAATTAAGTAATACGATATGTTGAAACAAAGGTTGCAAATCACATCATCTGTTTTGTGTCCACCTCACGTGTGTAATCTCTTGATTTTTCCCAAAAATTGCTCATAAATGAGAGGCTATGCCGTATTTTATTGATTTCAGAAGCAATAAAATTTTTTTGTAAAATATAAACATTTTTAGTATTTTACAGAAAATGTTATATAGTTACATAACTTATTCGGGTTACAGTAATTGGGAGGTTTAAACTATTTTACATGATAATTGTTTTAAAAAAATAAGAATAAACATCTCTACAATACCGGGCTGCAATTTTTAATTTAGTTAATATAAAGTATATGCTGTCGATCTCAAATTAGCAGTGTCTTGCTCCTGTACAATACATCATGCTTTTCCTGATAACAATAGAATCGTGCTGGTCATCTACATAACTCCGTTTCAAGGAAGTTTTAAATTGAAATCACATAACTTCCAGTCTAGACCGGCAGTTCATATATAGTTAATTGGGACTTCCTCCCTCTAAGTTTTTCATATCTGGTTTCGATTACCGTCTATCTAACATTGGTCTTAAGATTAATTAAGGGTGGCAGCTCAATAAGAAAACAGGTAAGTAGATATGAGCAAACACATAATAGGTATTTTCTCAACTTTAATTACAAACGTATTCATATATATTAATTATGTAAGTATTATAAAATAATTGCATATGTATGAGGTTATTAACAACGTAAGTAATTTAAACAAATTTTATTTTTAATTGAATACTGTTATGCACAGAGTAAAATACAAATCTACGAAATTGTGACCGAGGTATGAATATTTTGGAGAAAAAAAAAATCAAAACAAATTTTATTGAATTTCTACGTGCAAATTTAGTCTTAATTCAGGACTATTCAAATTTCAATTATACTTTCTTATGCGAGATTAACAGCTATCTCGAACGAAACTGTTATATCGCTGGTGAATGAATTCGTAATTTACTTTATGATCAGAAATAATTAAATTTAAATAATTTGATTTATTTTTAGGAGGATTATTTGAGTGGACTCTCTTGGCATCACCCTTCAAATCAATGAAGAAACTTGTATCTATAGACATCGCTTCAAACACTAGATCCTTCTGCGGAATTAAATTCTTACTGCTGTGTACATATATAACTAATCACGTAATACATTCTACGCTTTATTATTTCGGAATTGGTGGTAAGCTTACATTTTCTAACTTTTTCTAATTTAAAAATATTTAATTAATTTAATTTTTTGCAAATTATTAATATATTTGTACGTTTGTTCAATTTAATTTATTCGCATCATTATTTCCGCTAATTAATATATCCTATACCAAGTAATGTATCCTAAAATATCAAATCACTTATACGGTCCTGGACTATATGTTGTCACTTTATACTGTATATAACTTTAATGAAATGTAAGTAAAAAGAAATAATAAAAAGTGATTTTCTACAGACGAATACATGTAATTATTAAATTGCTCACTTCTAGCCCTTCTGTATATTATTATTAATTATTTCGTTAGTATTATTTTTTAAATATATAACGTCTTTTAGGGCCTATCATACATGGAGATAGATTTTCAGATTTTAGTTTTTATTTAACATTAAAATAAAGTACTTTACTAAGTTTTACAATAAAATACAAGTATTTTACAAGTCACATTTACGAAATAATTATTTTCTTTTTAATAATAAAGCAAACGTTACGATTTAATTAATTTAAGCAAAAACAACATAATGTGCTTAATTCACGTCGAATTAATGTATTGATATTAAGATTTTTCATCTGATCATTACCATGATTTCTCTTGTATGAAGGCGATTTTTTTCATCCTCCGATGGTCCATAAAACGTAGATAAGTGTAAGTAACAAAATGAATTTATTACTTTTCGACATAATCACCGTGGAGATTGAGGCTTTTATCTATCTCCACGGGGATTATGTCGAAAAGTAACCATGTTTGTACCTAAATTTTGGTAATAAATTCATTTTGTTATTTACACTTGTCTTTGTCTTATGCACCATCGGAAGTTGAAAAAAACAGCCTACATATTTACAATAAAACAGCTGAATATTTTATGAATGGACTCAATTACTGAAGAATTAACTCTCTTCACTCTCAAAACATTTTAAACTTATAATATTTATCTTTTTACAGAGAAAATAGCAAACTTTGTGTACTTGACTAAAAATATCTTTTATGACATTTTCTCTCAAGGGATTATAACCATCGAAACTTTCTTTTTTTTAAGGTAAAAATGTTCACACCAAGTATATTATTAATGTATGAATCTTCTGAATTATATAATCACGCGATATTAATAATTAAAATAAACGAATAAATATTAAATTTATTGAAATGTTTTTCGCTATTTAAAAATATAAAAAGATGAGTATAAAATTTTGTATTTGAAAATTGAAAATGTCACTTTTGAAAGTTTTTGTTTACTTTTTCTTAAATCTTTAAAAAAAATTTCTGTCGGTATTATTCTATAAAATTTTATTTAAAACAATATTAAATACCCTATATAAATTCATTTAATGGAATTTCATACTTTAATGAAAGTTTATTTATATATTCAACAGTGGGTTTTTAGCATTCTATAATCGAGATAAAAGTAAAAGTAAAGAAATAACGCACTATGTTAAGCTACTGATCAAAAGATTAAACAGGTATGTCAATTGTTTTACTTGAAATCTTTGTTACTTCTTTTCAGTCTTTGTTTAATTATTTCAGGTTGACTGTTCCTGTAATTACTTTGACTGCAATTAACATAATTCTGCCTCTTCTGGTGGAAGGACCTCACTGGCAAGTGCTGGTCGAAAGTCAAATCGACACGGAAAAAAATTGGTGGAAATACATTACTCACGTTGTCAATCTGTACGAAGTGCCACTCAATGTAAGTTCACGCGCAATAATGTTCCAATGCATAATTTATAGAGTATTATAAATATAACAAAGAAAATATAATATGTCACGTCAACAATCCGTTCCCGAAATCAGACATTAACAGGGAGTCCATTTTGCACTATTTTAAATAAAAAGATTTCCGGTACATCGTGTTACAGTCTTAATTCAATACTCTCAAGAAACTAATAAACAATACGATACCAACGTGCAAACATATTTGGATATAAAATACTTAATACATCGCTTTTTAATTATCAAACTGTTAAATCTGTAATTGTAAAAAACACTTACTTTGCGTTAACACGTACTGTACAGTAAAATCTGCATGCTTTATATCTATCAGTTACATTAATTTCTGCAGTACGTTGAAATGGTCAAGTTACTTTCTGATGCTTGCTTATTCTGTAATCAGGTCTAAATAAAAGTTATAAAATTATATGAACACCTATATTAATTAAATAAATTGCAATAATAAATATCAATACCAATATATAGGCTTACTATTTATAAAATATTGTTAACCAGACTTAGGTATCTTATTGGAAATTACTTCTTACTTTTTAGCAAATAGGAATTACTTGGTTTACGGCTGCTTTGATGCAACTAATTATAATTAGTGTGATTGTACAGTATATATACGAAAGGTAAGAACAACATTATTTAATTTATGCTAATATTTGTATATGATCCAATAATTTTAATGCTGATTTTCTATTCTTCGAACTGAATTTATTTTGTCGGTGGGGAAATTCTGTTTATTTTGAAATACAATTTCCAATATTTAAATCAGTTTAATTAATACTGTAGGTATAATCTAAAATTTACTACTTTAGTCATTATATTAAAAGTCTGTTACCGTATAAATTATATATTGCTTTTTTATGTTTCAGATGGCCAAAAGTTGGATTCGTCATTATTATATTTTTGATTTCAGGAGGAATTGTCTCACATATAACAGATATACTCTCTGCAAAATATTATGCAATAATTTATAGGCTAGAGTACGAACAGTCTGAATCAATCTTTATAATTACAGTCAACATTTAATATAAATTAATGTTTTATTAAAATATATAATTATACAGGATTTTTCAAAAGTAACGCGCCATAGGAAATTGTTTTTAAGAATCATGTGGGCAAAATATCAGGAGCAAATGTGTAATGTATTGGTTACGTTATCTTCAATACTGTTAAATGGAAACTAATGGCCATATTAATTGCGCGAAAATCATGTGTGGTCGAATCACTTTCAACTAATGTGGGCCCAGCTGCTTAATTTCTATAATTTACAACTAGATATGTTAACAGGATTGAATTTGTTTTTATTTAATGTATGAAACGTTACTGGGTTTTTTATCGCTGTTATTTTGTTTTACTCAAATAAAATTAAACATAACTGTAAAAAACTGGCAATGTGTCGTGTCATTGCTAATGTCATCTGCATATCGAGTATTAGAAAAAGCAATCAATTCTCCGAACATATCGGTTAGTTACAAAACTATGCATCTGGGCTTACATTACTTGAAAGTGATTCGACCACATATGAATTTCGTGCAATTAATTTCCGTTTAATAGTATTGCAGATCCAAACTAATGCATCACATAACCAATACACTACACACTTGTTCCTGATATTTTTTCCCACAAATCTCCTGATGCTTCTCTGCACAATCTCCTAAGGCACATTACTTTTGAAAAGCCCTATTATAGTGATAATTACGTTTAATATTTAATTTCAGTATATATATGAGATTTTCACAAAATAATTATGTAAAACCATGGTTTTCTCATCTATCAACTTACTTTTTTGGAGTTTTGTTGGGGTGCATTATTCCAAAGGATAAATTTATAAAATTTGGAAAAGTAAGTCAAATATCTTTAATTCTTGTATATGTACTGTACATTAATATCTATATAGAAATCTATCTTTTGATTTTTTGGACATGTAAAATTCGATTTATTGTTTCAAAATGTAATGTATTTCCAAATCTAAATATCTTCTTTCAAACAATATACAATATCAAAAAATTTTACATCACAGTTTACACTGTAATACAATCTAGCGACACTTGAAGACTCTGAAAATACAGAAATTTTTACTAATTTCACTATACATAACAAAATAAATTAACCAGTTTAACGAATTTATGATATACACAAAAATAAACATATTAGAAAATGCAATAATTGTGTACAAAATGTACAATAGTTTATACAAAAACTGTTGTATAAATTATAATTTTAGTAGAAAAATGTCATATAATTTTGGAATAATTAAAATCATTACAAATGAAATTACATGAAATACTGTTAGATACTGTTAAATAAAAGTAAGCTACATTTTAATTCAAATCTTACAAAAATTCCGAAAAATTCAAGTGTTATATTTTTAGATTATAATAACATAAAATATAATAAATTTCTGGTTCCATTAAGAAGACAACCAATTATTTGTCATTATCACTTTCACAATAAAAATTACTAAGAAAAGCTCTGATCAAGATGAAGCGAGCGCAACAAGGCTAATCGGGAAAAAACTTTGTTCTCCATTCCCTTTAATATATATAAAGAATAAAGTATCTATTATACAGAGTCATTAATAAAAGGAATTAAACTAAAGATCATAATGCTGAAAAATTTGCTTCGTTTATTCTATTACACTTTCAACATGATGCTCTTCATCCTTATATAGTCTACGAAAAATCGCACTTTAATTGATATGAATTTCAACAAGAAAAATTCAACTATTTCAATGTCATACTATATATAACAACATCTAAAATAAGCCCAATAAAAATTTCTTGTTTGTTGATTTTCTGCTTTGGAAGATAGATGTACTGTATGTACTCTTCGATAGATTTGAAGCACTAGTTTTGAGCAATTAGCTAGAGCTTTAAAGGTAACAAACACATTAACTGCCTTAGTTTTAGATGCTTAAATTGAGCAAAGACAGTTTCGGCTTTATTCCCGGAAAGATGGGATATCTTCAAGATGGAAAATTATATCTGAAACCTTAAATGGGATTGCCCTGGTCAATCACAGTCTCTAGAAAATCCTATAAAAAAACTTCTTATATGTTGAATTACTAATACATTTGATCATACAAACTTATGCTTTTCGATTGAAATAGTTTATGATTTACTATTATATTTGTTTTCATTGTACATAAGTATCGATGCTATTAACGATAGTTATAATTCAGCTGAATAACTTGTAGGCCTATAAATTCCCAATGTCGTCCGTTTGCCTGTCTTTCCTTAAACTCGAGAATGGAGTTACAATGATGAACGTCGTGACCAGATATGCGGCAGGAGATTCTGATTAATTATATACGAACTTCCAACGTAAACTGAAAGTCATGATATATCAATTAAATTATTTTTCTCCGAAAGGACTTAGGTAAATGACCGGCCGACCCCATTTCTAACGGAAAAGTATGATATACAGGGGCAAGCCACTACTAATTTGCAGTGGAGAGCATATATTTTATATTAATAAATTAAAAATATGATTAAATTGCATCATTGCTTGTTATTATTAATAATTACTATTAATTATATTATTATGTTTTGCGATTACAGTAGACCCCCCTATAACACGATAGATACGTTCCGTTTTATATGAATTCCGTGTTTTACGAGTTAATTAATTAAATACATGAGCCAATCACAGCGCGACACATGTGCAGTTTGAAAGGTTTTCTTCCATAAAATTAATCGATTCTAGACTAATTTGACTCAACATTTTCAAAACACATATAATTTTCTAAGAATAATCCATATAAATTATGTTATAAACAAAAAATTGTAGGATTACTTACCAACTGTGTACCGTTCGACGACGTCATTGTTTAAGCTTGTTTTCGTCTCGGAGCGGCTCATCGAGCGGTGGGCGCGTGTTTCCTTATAAGTTATTTTTCTGCGAAAAATTCGCTGAACTATGGAGACATCATTAATATGAATATAATTTTTATGACCGTTAAATAATAAATGGTTTTTAGTAGGTCAGCTGCTCGTTTAAACTCAACGGTTTGTGCAATGTCCGCTATTGGTCCAGATGCGACCAATCCTGTCGCAACACGAGTCGGCGATGACGTTTTACCATGTTATACGAGTCTCTTTTAGCGTGTTATACTAACATTATCGCAATTTTTCGCCGTGTTATACGAACCTGTGTTATAGGAGAGTCTACTGTATATCATAAAGAATTCCTAATTTTAACAAATGATTAGTTACAACCGGTAAAATTAGAAATCTCTTATATGATTATACCGAGAATATTTTATACATCAACTAACACTAATTTTTTAAGCAGAAAATGTGTTAGTTATGTATCAAAAACTCTCGTTCAAACCTATGAATTCATATACGTTCACAGTTACGAAAAGTAGATTTTCTTGTGTATTTTCAGAAAAACTTAATTGTCTTTTGGATTTCTTCTTTTGTTTTGATGGGGTTATCAATATTTTCAATATCTATAGTAAAGAATAACATTTCTCTCGACGAAAATATATTACTTGCGTACCAATGTTTGGCTCCATTCGCATGGACACTTGGATTAAGTTGGGTTTGTTTGGCATGCATCAACGGACACGGAGGTGAGTAAAATTCACGACTAATGTTTTACATTATGTAAAATATTTTATTTATGATTGTATATTTAATATTGGAAAAAGAAACGTTCGTTGGTGTATTTTACAATAAATTCTTGATGGTATTTGAAAAATCATTACATTTTTGTTAATTTAATAAAAACGTTTTATTTTTAGGAATAATCAACCGATTCCTTTCTCTCGAAATTTTTGTGATAATGAATCATTTAAATATTTGGATTTACATCATTCATATCGAAATTATCTTTTGCATGTTTGCATCGTTAAGAAATTCTTTGATAATCAATGAATTGAATTTGGTGAGAATATTTGATTTTTCTAAAATCTGTAGTTCTAAAACGTTCTTTTCTATTTATTCTAGTTAATTATTATTTTACACATTTAACACATCAATTATTATAAAGATTGTTACAAAATCTGTCGCGAAGGACTTTACGTAAATGTCACTTAATTAATATTTTCAATTCTTTCGTTTCGTAAGATATTCCGAATAAAACAAAAGAAATAAATAAAGTTTTGAAATTCGTATCTTGTTACAATCAGAGTATAGGGTGGGAAAGTCATTTAACACCCCTGCTGCATAATGTAGAATGTACCCAATGTACCCAAAGTTAATTTGCTCATGTCACAAACACATTAGACAAAGGGGAAACAGATTGATGTGTGTCACATGCACGGCTGTCATCTTGATGGCGGCCATATTGAATGCAACTTCGAAACTGTAAATGGGAATAGAGTCGCGTGACACATCAGTTAGGGTCATAATTCCACAAGGAATTGATTGCTGAAAGTTTTTATCGCCCTACCTCGAACGGTTACAGAGTTATTCACGTTACATGATGTGCTCGATGTACATTCTTTGGATACATTCTATGTTCTGTTGCATCGTTGATAAGTAACATTCTTTCCCACTCTGTAGTTTTAAAATTTATGTTTTTGAATGGCAGAATTGTAGTATTAAGTATGAAGTTATAACATACTTTTTGTATGTTCATACATTCAATGGTTGTTGTTATTTTTGTTTTCTAAAAAAAAAGTATAGAAGCAATACATATTAATTTCTCGCAGCGAAAGTTTAGGTTGCGAAGATACGTCTTTAATAATTTTTCCAATTATTAAAGGAGTATCCTCGCTATTTCCAATTATTAGAATTAAAGACCGATAAAAAAATGAAAATAATTTAGTTATTATGTAAAAATATACAAAAATAAATATAATCACTCTAATAAAAATTAATGATGATAAAGTATTTTGTAATTTCACACTAAATTTCTTAAAATAAATTATGAAACTATGTACATTTTGAAAATCTTATTTGTATTTATAAACGACTGGTATTGTATTTCTATTAAATTAGAATCTGTCACAAATGTTTTCTCCTAAGTGTAATTTAAGCAGTTTTTCTTCTTATAATTCACAGTAATAGTTTTTAATCCACCAGTTCGCTTAATTAAAATTTTGACATCACAAAACTATTATCTTTTTATCATTTCTTCTGTGATATTTTGTTTCCAATTCCAGATTTTACTTTAACAAAACAATGCTTAAATTATATTTACAGTTCTCTATCAATTACCTCATTTTGATATTTTGTTATATCCATTTTAAAGTATAAATTACTGTCAAGAATATCACTTAATATATTTCACAAATCAATTAAACATTACACAATATATTACATATTCGAGTAATAAAATTTGAATTATAATTATCCAATAATTTTAATTTCTATTATTTTAATTCTCTTTATTTGCGTTAGATTAGAATCCTAAATATATAACAAATAAGAAATTTGATTTAACAAAACCAATTTGTATTATTAAAAACATTACTTTATTTTTTTTCTTTTTAGATGATGCTATTTACATTTGTCATGCTACTTACCCTGATCCTCTCTCCAGTTTTTTACGTATTCATCGAATCTCCAATGAATAATTTAGTTTCTAAATTACTGGAGAAATTGCCATCTAATTACGTTGGGCATAACAAGAACGAAATAAAGTTGAAAACAAAATAACGTGAAATACACGAAAACAATTATGTTTGAATGATTGGAAAACAATAACAACGTTAGTATTTAACTATAATTTTCTTATATCTGCAAATACAGTCGACCCCCTATAACACGGGTTCCTATAGTTCGGATTCCTATATCACGGCGAAAAAAATGCGGCAGTATTCGTACAAACATGCTAAAAAACTCCTATAATTCGGTAAAACGTCATCGCCGACTCGTGTCGCGACAGGATTGCACAAACCGTTAAGCTTAAACGAGCAGCGGACCTACCAAAAACCATTATTTAACGTTCATAAAAATTATATTTATATTAATGATGTCTCTAAAGTTTAGCGAAATTTTTCACAAAAAAAATAATTTATCAGGAAGCACGCGAGCGCCATTCGATGACAATTTCTACGACGGAAACAAGCTTAAGCAACGGCGTAGTCTAACGGTGCACACTCGGTAAGTAATCCTACAATTTTTTTGTTTATAGCATAGTTTATATGGATTATTCCCAAAAAATTATACGTATTTTGGAAATGTTGAGTCGAATTAGTCTAGAATCGATTAATTTTATGGAAGAAACGTTTCAAACAGCCTAGTCCGTAAACTGCATACGTGTCGGGCTGTGATTGGTTGGACTCCTAGAAGCTGGATTCATAAAAACAGGAACGTTTCTATCGTGTAATAGGGGGGTCGACTATACTAAACAGTAAATGCTTGGCTAGAGACGGTCGACAGCCTTTCACTACGGATTGAAATCAAATCCAAGATGGCCGTTTAGTGAGATTATTGTTGGGATATTACATTACAGTGCACTTATAAACAAATTACCAAATAATTTGTTTATTCTGGCAGTTTCAGAATTATTTTATTTCATTGTACGTTTTTATTAAGAGTCTGCTAGCATAGCGAGCACAAGTGTATTTCGAGTCTATATTATTTAGTTTATCTACACGTTAAAATCGTAAAGAATAGTGGAACGATGGACTCACTGAAGAGTCCAAATTTTATATTTTATATTTAAGTAAACTTATGTAAAAGTTTCTCCGGAAACCACACTCAATATGAGCCGTAGCATCTAGGGGAAAAAATCTAAATAGGAAGCATTCGTATTAATTGCATGTCTGTATAGACCTCTCTTAAAAATCCAACGCTTCCGCATCAGCTACGTTCTCTTTTTCTTTAATTTCTTACAATGTACAGACTCTCTCACTCTACCGTGTTTCCCTCTTTTAGATTTTCCTCTCGTAATGCATAGTGTTTTTGCTTTAATCTTCGCATCCTTCTATGTTCTCTAACCCACAACGAATTTCAGATATATAGATTTTTTTATCCTTTAGGGGGATTTCATATATTTCGGATTTTTCTCCTTTCTTCCTGTTCTCTTTATCATTCCTTCGTCACATAAAATCAAGTTTCTCTTACTGGCAAATTTTTGTCAATAAAGAGAGCCAATAAAACCGTGTTTAATTCGCTACATCCCGGAGATGAAATTTTTTTTCTAGATATTCCCATTTTTAACAAATATATAAAGGTCTTTTAATCAGGCTTTAACAGCGATGGTATAATAGTTAACGAGAGATGCTTTTTCAGAAGATCTACACGGATATAATTAATACGAAGCTGCAGAATGCACAGTGGAAGATGTGCAAAACTCCATATTGTAACTTTTTTTTTTTTTTTGCTTGTAAGTAAATCTTATCACGGAACTTCATAACATTATACGTTTTCATTTTTAAGTCTTTAGATGTTCTTAACCGTGGGTAGTTTTCGAACTTTCGGAATTTTGAGGATATGTTCGAATTTAGTATTTAGTGCTTCATCTGATGAGCACCGTTTAGCTCGAAAGTACTAAAATGTTTTAAGAATTTTTCCGATTTCCTAAAGAAATTTCTACGGAATCATCAGTATAATTGATATACAGTATTTTTGAAATAAATGTATAAGTAATTTCCATAAAATAGCTTAATTAAACTATTAGTTAATTTTCTGTAAACGAAAATATTGTTGTATACGCGCAATTATCTGAAATATTTCATTAAACAGTAACTCTTATATTATCTGAATTAATTTCAATAAGTCTCGCTGGCTTGCGTGCATTAGAAATGTCCTTTCTGTACGGCCATATTGGATTCTCGCCGAATTTTACGGCGACGCAACCAAAAGGAATTTAGTTGCCATCTCTAATCTGTTTATACTCACAGGTGAACACCATGGTAATTATAATAAATTTGGATATTACTAAAGTATAAAAAAATATTGTAATCACGACATTTATATTAAACATTCTTATTAATTAAAGTACAGTTAAAATTACTGTAAACTTTATTTTAATATTTTTAATTAAATAAAGACAGCTTAACACTATCGACAGGAAACACTGAGAGAACCACCTCGGATTAATGAAACGGAAGTAATGTCGAGATTTATTCCCGATAGTCGGTCATCGGTATTTGTAAAGAAATCGTCGACCCGAACCTTGTATTAAGTCGAGCCACACCGTTGTTTCTCGATATTTGACCGCGGGTTTTGGTTCGGATTTGTGTCGAAGTAATTAATGACTTGAGACAGGAAAATTGGTAAACGAGTCGAACTTCACAAATCGAAAGTTTGTGGGAGAATATGGCAAGGCATCTCGTCTGGATAACGTCAAAAACCGAGAAATGAACGCATTTTCAAATTTAATTTGTTTCCGGGGACGAATCAATCACCTTAACTACCAAAGACGTCACAATCGATAGTTCGGTTATGGGTAATTTCCCACCGTTTGATCGAAATAATTTAAAATTTATGTCGCCAGATAAGACGCGCCCATACCATCCCCTTTTGTAGTTGTGGGTAAACTCGGTGCAGCAAGAGAAAAATCTTCTGTTGACAATTTAAAAAGTTTTAGTTGCCTTAAAGATGGATAAATATTTGGACATGTCTACTCTTTATGAGGAATGTGTCTACTAAGATGAGAAAATTTTGTTCATTCCTGTTTATAATCGAATGACTAATCGAAATTCTCAAAGATTACAACGTAAATTTAAAGAAATTTGTAAATAGCGCGAGTAATGTAATTCAATGAAGATAATCGAACAGATGATTACGCCTAAAATAAGTACCTCCACCAAACGTGGTGTTTCGATTTTATTCTTCGTAAATTGTAACTGATAAATTATGGTTTTGTTTGTAGCCCGATTAGTACAGTATATGCGGGCATTGGAGCTTACAAATTAGCTCTTGGCTCTCACTATGAAAATTATAACAATATTACGTCATCGAGAAATGAATACTAAAGCGTGATTAGTGTAATAAAATTCAAAATTGTACGAATGAACAGTTGCTTATTAACTTTCGAATGATAATTTAGTATATCGAATTATAGACCTGATGAACAAATTCAAGAAAGAATACTTTTTTTGTAGTTTTGTTTAAGAAAATGCTGCAAAAGACAAAAATTTAACATAACGTTAACAATAGTATACATTAGGACCTATACTAAAATATAAAATAAAAAAAACTACGCCACAAATGCTTACTCAAACCTTGCGCGCGCGAGTATGATTCATTGTGCCAAGTTTTTCTTCGTGTAATGAAACAGAATGGCTGTTTCACCGAACTGTCTACTATCTGTTCCGTTATTATTCAATTAATGAGCGGTTGGAGAACGTACAAACATCAAAACACATACACGGTGTCAAAGCTATGGATGCTTCAAGAAGACCACCAGCGGGAATGATCGTGGCAAGTGCGAACGGTGTAACGGTGTTTTTCTCCACCAATCAAAAGGTGGAAACCTTGCTATAGGCCATTTGGCAGGCGTCAAATTTTATTGTTTTGACTGTCCGATGGGCACTAAAAGCGTTATTTTTAATAAAATCCGTGTCTGCGGAGAACTCGGCCAATACATCTAAGATAAACCACTCTCAAAATTTTTGAGGTTGCCAGGATTACATCATGGATAGTCCAGAGCGTTACCATAGGGCAATAACTGCTTCGGCCATCCGGCCAGCACGAACATATTTGCATCCGGCCTGGTTTTAGCGGTGTCGTGCAAGTAGCATAGACTTTCTTATTTCTTAACTCCGCCCAATAGGCCCAAAGAGGGTCTGGCCTTTTCATCAAGTATATTATTGGGTGTTGAAGGACGGCGCCCCTACGTATCCGAAACGACCATTCCCAAAAAATTCCTGGATTTTTGACCCGTACGAATTCTATCTCGGGTTTCCAGAGCGGTGGACTGACACTTTAATTAATCGGAAGGCCATCTATTTGTTGAGAAGCATAGATCACTATGAAGTGTCATTGTAATGTCTTAAGCAACAAATCTTAGTTTTGTTTGAGAACGAACTTGTTTTTTTTTACTCTTATAAATGAATATTTATACAAAAACTTGATTTGCCCGTATAAAAATAAACTTTGTATGATTCCATAAAAGCCCAATTACATACTTTTTTATTCTTGGAAGACACCGCGTTGTTACACGCCGAGGCAGAGTTTAGTGGAGAGATTTCACAAACATACATACGCATATCACAAATACAAATATTTTCGGATTAATTTTACACAAGGGCTCGAGGTAGAAAAATGCTTTAGACAAATCGCGTAAATGGCAAGAAAATCGAACAGTTTGCAGGAACGATCGGAAGGTCTTCGACTTTGACGTACGGAGTAGCAGAAAATACTTGTACAACTAATTATGCAGAGTAGAGAGATGGATCCTACAGTTTAATGAAATGATTTTACCTAATTGCGGACAGATTAGTATGTTGCTCTGGATAAAATTACTGCTATTTTAATTTTTTTTCTAGTAGGCCTACGTATAAAGTTTAATGTGGTAGCCGTAAATATTGCTCGTGGTATTATACTGCAGTTGCCGAGTGAAATAAAAAGAGCAGATACAACCGGAAGAACAACGAATAGGATTGAACTATAAATATGCTTGATGGCATTATCGTCTTAAAATTCTGACCAAGCAATTGCGTATAGACGTAAAATGTTAAGTTTCTGATGAGATTAAATTTCTGCTACTGATGCATGAAAATAAAGATATACTTATGACTAACCCGGTGGCGAGGATCCTAAGTAAAGGTACTGTTTATAAATATATGTGATAATCTAAGCGAGTGGAATTTTTCTAGAAAATTTTACCGAGAATGATTTCCTTAAATCACATGGTAGAAAAACGACTAAACACAGCAGAACTCTATGCCACCCTGAATGAGATCAGACAGGAACACAATTTATTGACAATCAACAACACAAATGGAAACTGGAAACTAATATACAAAAAGTAGCCTAAATATGTAGGCTGCAAACATCGAGTGATGATTTATAGAGTGATGACCGAAGAATAATAAATGTCAAGGGTCCAATATTCCAAATTCAGAATTACTGTTTTTAAATGAAATGGGTATAAATTTGCAATCCAAACGTTGTGGATATTAGCTGGAAAGTATAAATGCGACCATCGCTCGTCCACCAAATAAAAGAAGGAATATAAGTCTCGTAGCTATTTTGACTCCCACGGAATTGGGAAACATAAGGCTGTGAAAAGCCCTACAACTCAGAATTGTTTCTGTTCTTTCTACTTGAACATGTAACGATCCGAAGAACAGATTTCCGTGATTCTATTTATAGTTTCATCACTCTGACGTGGTTACAACCTATTTGACGGAATAGTCCATAAAGTACAATTACCATCGTAATGTCACACCTAAACGTACAACTGACGAGTTTCCGCGTTTCATAGACCCCATTATGGATACAATGAATTCGGGCAATGAATTCCATCATATCTACCTACTTACAAGAGCTATGCTTCCCAGAATATACAAGTATAATGCATTACCGTAAGTACAATTTTATTGAACACTAACTGCTGAAATCTTACTTTTATAGCAGTCTGTCAGAATAACTAGTGTCTGTTTTATATAGCCTATGCTTGAACATATCATTACACAAACGTTTCTGAATTGGTGATAAGCATATGTTTATTTGTGAAATTTCTCCACTAAACTCTGCCACGGAGTATAATATACAAGCATTAGATTTTTAAATTTACAGAAGCAATTTTATCGTACTTCAGGTGAGTCTTATAACACCAAATTATTGGGCGGTAGAAATATAAATATATTTTTGGATTATATAAATAATCCAAAAATTTATGTTTGAATTTTCATCGTAAACGCATGCAGATTTTCAGATACTGAGAATTTCAAACTCCAATACTTAAAAAAATTTTAGTTATAATTTCCGCCAGTAGTTAGCAATATTTAGGGAAAGAAGCTAGTGTGACATCATTAAAATGACAGAAAAACATAGTAGAACTGTATAAAGGAACGGCAGCAGTGTTGCAAATGAGACTCGATAAGTCCATTTTATTAGATAATAGCACTGCATTGTGGTATAAATCGTAACTAAAATATGCAATAACTTTTTATTTTAAAAATTACGTATTATTCGCAGTTCTTTTGCAATGACGGCATAATTTTCGAATTTTTCTAAAATCGTGCCTGTCTAATGAATCACTCTGTATTAGGATGGCCAACTCCCGAAGAGTCCATTCCGTGCATTGTCAATTTCGCAGTAAATTTTAGCAGATAAATCTTTGAACTTAGCAAGACTGAAACTCCTCTTTTCGTCATGTTTAATTTTATTCAGTTCACGGATTATACGCATAAACTGAATGATATTAAATCAATTCCTAGAATTAATTACGTATTAATTCTACATTAAGGCTAAAAATAGAATATTCACTTCATCAACATTGATTATTGGGAAATCACATCTAATTTCCTGTAAGCCTAGAAGTTTGACAATGGTGTTTGGATAGTCAGAGGAATCATGCTCGACATTCCAAACACCATTGTCAAACTTCTAGGCTTACAGGAAAGCGTCGCTGAACGTCCGATGCACACATTTTCGCGTTTAAAACTTCGGCCTCAAATTCGCTAATGTTTATGACGTATTTATGAATAGATAAAATAGATTGAGAATAGATTGAATATAGCCTGATATGTCTTAATTCAAATAATTTCTCCCAAAAGATGTTAGATAGATGAACGGAACAATTCTATTGTTAAAGAAAAAGTATGATGTACAGTACAGGAGCAAGCCACTACTAATTTGAGTGGAGAACTAAATAAATTAAAAATTTTTATTTTTCTGGTTTGCTGATTGTCTGCCGAATAAAGCAACTTGAAATTTAGACAAGTTGATTTCATGTTTTTCTCTTTCATAAATAATATGACTTTAAACTCTTACATTTAGATATATATTTATTTAAATTCTTCATTGTGCATAGGTTCACTGGAAGATCTCATAAACTTTAGTAAAAATTTGATGTTTCCCGACCCTCGAATCGAGATTATTTCTCCATTTTTCACTTATCTTAAAGAAAATTCAAGATCTGTTTCCAAAAATAACAAAATTATAACATTATTTTCTAATTAAGTAACAATTGTGACAAAAGTGAAAACTATGATCAGGAGAATAGGTTTGTTTGATCATCAAACAAAGACAGTTTACTAAAATCTTATAATTTTGGCATTTGCATTATCTATCAATACAGTTTTATTTTCGGTAACAACAGATGAAGATGAAATGTGTAATTTTTTATAATTTATTTAATAACAGTGACTTTATTGTGTCGCCATCTGTGGAGTATTTTTTAAAATATTTTTATTTTAATCACAAATATTAAAATATTAATTAAACAATATCAACAACTTGTGGATATTTATTAGTAAAGAAATAAAGAAATAATTACCTTGCGACAGTAAACGGATGCTCGAACTAGTTAATCCTCATAACTAAAGAAGTATCAGGGTTTATAAATTAATTAACCTGGCTTCTAACGGGGACAAAAATTGTATTTAATTATTAACTTTTGCCATATGATTAATTACGAATTTTTGTGTTTTTTTTTTTCTGATCTGGCAAAATAAAATTACAAGCTTTACATAAAAAAACAAAACTGCAATTTTCTTGAGAGTAAAGTGTATTTTAACTGTCTTACAATTATTAATTTTTTTTTTAAATATTCATGAATAATTTAACTACAAAATATTTTTTCATTTATAAATCTAAACCTAATTTAATTATCAAGAAAAAGAAACCTGAAGCTTTAATTATTTTTTGTATGACAAATGTTTGAATAATTTAAACTTAATTTTAATTTTGATAAAATAAAAAATAAATAAAAATGCTTTTGATAAAATAAAGTTTTCTATATATTTTATTATTCTTTTTTAGCTCTTAATAATAAGAAAAACTTAAATGTTTAAAAATATTTGTTTATGTAAATCATCACCATTTAAAGATTTCTTGTTTTAATTTTATGGTAAAATTATTAACGTAAATAAGTTTAAATTCAACGNTATACACATATATGAAAATGATCACGTAGAGTTACATAACTTTACCTGTTTATTACGCTGCTCTATACACTATTGAGCGCGTAGATCAACACATTACTTGTGTGAACTACTAACACAATCTTATGTACAGTAAACAATAATAACATTTATAGCTATGCTACGTACTGTACATACTTTAATTATAGTAATTATTTATATAAATGTATAAGCTATACAAATAACATATAAGTACTGAAAAGGCAAGAAGCTTATAAACTTATATATTTATTATAGATTAAGTTAGACAAAAGCATATACAAAATAACCCAAAATTCAGTTAACTTTTCGTGTTAACTGGCTTTTGTGTGTGTGTATATATATATATATA